GCTCTCGTGCAGTCTCGGGTCCTTTGACTCGTGTCAAAAACCGACTCCAGATGGAGCGCCGGCGAGCACGAGGCAAGGCGAGGCGATGCGACCCGAGTCAAGGCGAGAGAAGACGAGCGCACCGAGTACACTCTCGCACTCGCCAACGCTCGCCTTGCCTCGGCGAGAGTGTACTGGGGGTAACACAATACAAATTACCATTCAAATCGTTAGAGCCATTTTGTAGAATCGACAAGAGAAAAATTGCTCGTAAAAGAAGATATTGCTTGGTGTTATAATGTTTTGGACAAAATTTACAATAAAAGTATTGTTTTTCGTCGAATTGTCATTCCTCCTCATACATAGGCCCTACATGAAACCTTTTCTTAACAGACGAATTCAACGCGCAGCTTCTTCACCAATCTTCTACCCATTATCACTGAACACTCATTTTCCGATTATTAAGTCATAACAATATTTTGAGCATGCCTATTATGTTTATCTTTATATCTCAACATCGTCATCTCGCCTCTCGTCGCTGTAGAAAGGTCAGTAAACGCTCCGGTTAGCGAAAGTTGAAGAGGCCGATGTCCACATTACATCAAAATGCCAACCACGAGTTTTATGAAGGCCTACCTAAAAGAACGACGGAGACGCTACGTGCTTTTAAATAGTATTTGTTATAAATATGTAAAAACGTATCGGATTTTCTGTAATCTATTATTGTGTGAAGATAGTGAAGAAGCTAACTGTTTTTGTACAAGTTGTTGAAAGTTTTAATCCATTCGCAAAAAAAGTATTTTCTTTACTGTACGCATTACATCTTATTTGTACATATTTAGTAGTTTGCGTGTTTGAAGTGACGATCAAGGATGTACCTATGTATTTTTGCCTACGGAACAATAATTTCGAAATCAATTGACAATTATGTATTCGAAACCCAGTGTGTAAACGAATAAATATTAATCTATTATTTTAATTGTAAAGTGCGCAATAGTTAAAACTCTTTATGGTTGGCCTTTGCTTTTGTCTATGAAACCTTGTTCCACCGACAAAATATATAGTAAATTGTGTTTGTGGTAATCACTGCAATTGTTTTGTCTTCTAATTAGTTTGGGACATAAATTTCAAAGGTTCAACATTTGTACTTCAGACTCTGTGACATCTAGTTGTAAGTTAACTTGTTTTTGGCCGTCTGTAAGTAGGTATTATTTCTTTTATCTGTTACATTTTAACATGTCACATCTAACTTTGAAGGTTGCAAAAAAATCGTGCCAACGTTTGAATTTGGTTACAATAACCACAGAATTAAGAGTGAGTCCGACTAAACAGTCGCACTCTTTATTATAATTATCGATTGAGATGGCGACGCCACCTAGGTTCGTATTTTAACCCAAATATGAGAGAAGGATGAGTACAGAATGGAGTTGATGGTCTGCGAAGCCTTGTTACTGACTAAGATCAGCTGTTTCATTAGCCAGGATAATTTATGTAAAGCCCAATGATCAGGAACAGCTGATCAAGTTTAAAACCATCAAAAAGCTACTGACTTTTCTCAGGATCGATCTGGGAAATGATATTCTGTGCCACAACCAAACGGTGGGCTTGGGGAATAAACATATCACACCATGAGCTAAAGCCCTACACGCTGCGCCGGTCGTTGGCAAAAACTGGTTGTCCACTCAGCTCTGTCAGCTGACACTAGTCTGGTTGCTGGTCACTTTCTCGTGAACCAGTTCTGGTTTTGCCTCAGACTGGTTGCTTGTGGTTGACGTTCACTCTCAGCCTGTGAGAATCTGCAACTTAGCTTGTGTGAAAGGAAAAAATATGTAAAACTACTCATAATAAATATTTGGGCAACAGCTAAAAATAGATTCAATATTCAAACCAGATTATACAAATCAGCTTAAATATGAACAATAAACCCTTCATTACTACTCCTTATTAAGACAGAGCTTATTTATAACTTTCAATTTGTTATAAACACCAAATTTAATATCACCTTAAATGTTTTTATTTATACTGTATGAACCCTTTTACTTGGATAAATGTAATTATTTAAATTTCAGTTTCAAAACATACTTTACATAGATACAGTTTTCCAAAGTCATAAAAATTTTGGTAAAATACATGCACCAGAAAAATACAAGGTTTATTTCCATCAACCATACTCCACTTTTTTCTTTTTTGGGAATTATGAAAATATTTTTTTTATTTTTACTGTAGCGGATTTAAAAATTTAAACTCCTATGGACAATAGTCAGTTCAGACACAGACACTCCTCCCAAAACAGCTTTTTAGGACTTTTGGGTAATAGTCCAAAATAAAATATAAAATACTTCTACCAAATGATGAAACCTAAAACTTTGTACAGTAACATTTTCAGTATGTATAACAAACTTGTATGCATTTTAGTCTGACTATTGTTTAGTTTAAACATATTAAAGTATGTTTTTTACAGTTCTAAGTTGATATATTAGAAAATATCAATTTGAAAACCTATGTGTAAAATTATTTTAGATCATGCCGCCACACCAGAGCATGTATGCTTGAAATGAAATGAAAATCCTTCTTTATTGAGGCGAACTTAGGACCAAGGTCCTTTCTTACAGTTAATATCTAAATGCTTAATGTATGTGTGAGGATAAGTGAAGGATGCAAATTGAATGAATATGATGATAGCCTTATTTCAACTAAAATCAGCTGGTTGAGTTGTCATGACTGTTTATTTTAACCAATGAAAACGGACAGCTGATCCAGTTTCAAGCCATGCAACCTTTCTCAGGATAGAATTAACTGAACAAACCACAGATTACCAGTAGGTATAAGTGAGTACTAGCTATAACTACCCAGCTACAGAAAAACAACGAAGTTTCAAACAATTTTTCCACTTAATATATTTTGGTTACAAAAGAAAGAATTACGCAATTAAAAAGTTACTTCGCACAATCGAATGTCCATATTCCTGGTCCTTTCAGACTTTCGATCCATTGGTTATCACAGCTTGCTGATTGCAATGCCCCAGGCCTCCATTAACATTAGCATCATCATTACTGCCTCTGGTCCATTATTTGTGGCATTCCGCAGTTTGTTTACTGCTTGTCCACTTTCACTTGAGATATGAGGTGATCAAAGTCATCAGCGAATTGTCAGGTAATTCACTACTAATCGAGGAAAGGAGTAAATGTGTTGTAACCTAGTGTGTAGTGCTTCTATAGTAGCTAAGATATTTTTGGCTTTGGTATTGGTTGCAAAAATTGTTATTGTTTTGTTTGAAGAGATTAGCTCATTATTTGTAAACTGTCAACTGACACAGCTTGACACCTTACTGTGTTTGTTCAAGCAATAATGTAATAACTGTATCATCTGAAACAATAATAGGAATTTCTCCTATAGTCCACTGTCAAATGTACACCCGTGTGCTCCTTGATGAGGCAGGTGTGGGAGTAGTCTTAATCTCTTCGTTTAACCTTGGAGAAATACAATTTCGATGGTGGCACTCTTGAAAATGGTGCGTTTGAACGCTGTGGGTAAAAAACAAAATGGTCGCCATTTAAATGTTTAAAATCAAATTCCATGAAAACCAGCTATTAAAACAAAATTTTGCAACACATTTCTTAAAGTCCTTTTTATTACAAATAGAATGACACTTTATTTGCAAAAATCGGATAATAAATAAAAAAGTTATGTTACTTTTATTATTAATAGTAATTATCAAAATGACAGTCATTTTTAAATCACAATGTTAAATTCCATAGAAACTAGTGACAAAAACATAATAAAAGTTACATAACTTTTTTATTTATTATCCGATTTTTGCAAATAAAGTGTCGTTCGATTTGTAATAAAAAGGACTTTACAATACTGTGTTTCAAAATTTTGTCTTAATTGCTGGTTTTCATGGAATTTGACTTTAAAAAATTTTAATGGCCGCCATTTTGAAATCCGATGAGCCTGATCAAATATTTTTTCGGAGAATGTTTATAGTTGTAGACTTAAGGTTTATACCAAGTTTCATAAAAATATCTCCAAGAGTTTTTGAGTTATGAATTATTTTCAAAAAATACAAAATGGCGGATTACGGCTAAACTAAGCCGAAATCAAAAAAATCTTATACTACATTTTCGACTTATTTTTGCACATAGAATTTGAATCTGCATAGCCCGTTACGCTTTACTGAAACACCCTTTATTACTTTTTGAAATATTTAACTGTCCTTGGACATTACTTCCACCCTGATTAATTTATTTATGAAAAATATAAAATTATGTTTTATGAAAGAATGGTGTATCCTACATAAAAACTTAAATAATCTTTTTTGTGCAGATTTGAAATAGCAACATTTTGGTATCAACAATTCTTTCATAACTCTAACGGTTACTGATATAAGTAAGAAAAGAAGTTGCGACGGCGGCCATTTTGTTTTTTTTCCACAGCGTTCAAACGCACCATTTTCAAGAGTGCCACCATCGAAATTGTATTTCTCCAAGGTCAAACGAAGAGATTAAGACTACTCACACACCTGCCTCATTAAGGAGCACACGGGAGCCTGTATATGTACATTTGACAGGGGACTACTAGGCAAAACTGAAGGTTGATTAATTAACATAAATTTTGATTATGTTGGTTTTATGCTAAATCTTATTCTTGCGATTAGTCATACCATTGTGTAAAATGAATGTATATGCTACAATGCACTTAATGATCACAAACTTCGTCATCTCATCCAATCAGCACGCCTCTACTCATCTTATTCTTGAAATATGAACCCTGGTATATCAGCATCTTAAAATTAACTGATCTATAATCTAAACTAAACCCATTTCTCTAAAGGCGCGCCACGAATAAAAACCATTGTTTCAAACAAAAGATCAAAACAGCAGCCACTTCACTACTTGGAGGTCAAGAATATTTACAAAGGCAATTCAAGAACTTGATTGCCAATTTCAAAGCTGTTTCCTTACGGTATTTAATATTATATTTTTCAATAGATGTTTGATGTTTTCTTCTGTTTGTTGCAGTGCCATATCATTGAACATGAAGATATGGAGTGTCAGCTGCACATTGGCCGTTCTGTTGCTGGTGGTCACGGCTCAGAGACGAGGCTCTCGAAGGTTCGATCTCTCTCAGGTATGTCAACATTACACTATATATCTTATATAAATATCGAGCATTGCAACATGTGTCTTAAATGACTGTGTTTGGCAATTTCACTATTAATTTTAAACATATTTTGATTATTGTTAATCTTATACAAGAAATGTTGATCCTTGATGGCATACTAACCCTTTCTCTGAGCACCTTAGATATTTTTAATTTTTCAGAAGCAACTTCATGCGATATGTCCCTAAAATTGTTGAAACATGTTGAAATGAGTGGGTAGAAATAACTATAACTTTAAACATAGTGGTGGGGACCAGCTAGTATAGTAGCATTGATTGACTATTGCACGGAAGTAAACTGACATTGTTGATGTAAGATATTAACTAGGTTACTTGACTGCTTCTAAATTTTTACAAAATAATATTGGCCAAAATTTAAATTCCTTGCTTTGTAATTCAAGGCATTTTTTGATGTGGTACACAAAAAGGATAGTAAACAAATGTTTGATGATACTGCTCATTACAAGGAAAGTTTTGAAATCCAACCAAGTGGTTTTAAGAAATGCTCAATTAGCGAACCAATTGGTATCAAAAACAATATTTCTCTTGAGCTTTAAAAACTCAACTAAATTTTAATATTTTTGTCTTGATATGTTACCACATCGTCATGGTGTTATATTGTAATTCTTATCTTTTCCTGTAGAAAACTTCTTATACTACTGTATTTTCCCCATTAGATAAAGAAACATTAGATAATCATAAAATCATACGGGGTATCAAAATAGATACACTTATGTGATGAAAAACTAATTGCTCTCCACTTATGAAACATTGAATACTACTGTAATTATTTTGTGGATATGTCAGGGTTGTTATCATTAGAGATGTGTTATAAGTGTGGAGGATCAGTACAAGGACTACTTGTTTATTTGATCCCTTTCACTCCAAAGTATTTACCAGAATAGTCAGAATCTTCAGGAAAGTAGAAGACTCATAGAACCCTCAAGGACACTTTGGTTGTTCGGAATATAATCCTGTGGTCTTTTGTGTTGTAAATGATAATAAGGAAATTAAGGAGCAATACAATGGAAACAGCCAAAAAGAGAAAATATGACTCATAAAAATTCTTTGTAAAATACTAGTGTCAAGGTAACGGAAGTTTCGGTTCACTTAATAAAAGTAAGTACAATATTATTATTGAACAGATTCTTGCTTGAAAGATGTAAGTAACTCCTTGAAACTTGCAAATAACATCCTTTGACTTTCTATAAAAGTATATTTATACACATACCACACTGTGAATTATACATTTCATTTGTACTTTAAAGCTATAGCAAGTATTAAAAAAATATTTTATCTACTGATAGAGTGTGCTCCAGTAAAATACCTGCTATTTCTCATAGACCAACTTTTTTAACTCAAGGAATATTTTAAGTTAGATATTTTCTAACTATAGTAGTTTTTGTCTCCTATACTAATATAGTAAGGTATAAAAAAATAGAACTAAAAAATTAATTGTACGACTTAAAGACCCTATTAGCTCAAATTTACGAAGGTTAACTATACTGATAAATCAAACAAAACCATTCTATATTACCATTGTGTGTGTGCCTTAAGAGGGCAATGAGTGAACAAGATTACAGATGTGTTTCTAAACCAATGAATTCAAACTGAATAAATCTTTAACTTCCCATTTCCTCATAACACCACACCACTAGTTTTGTGGGTTTTACATAATTGTCCTCCAAAAATATCCGGAGAGAAAGCAGACTAGCCGAGAAGCATTTCACAACTGAGATTTGAACTTGAAATCGTGATCCAGTGTGTTTGTGTGTCCTATGTCCTCCTGCTCTAATAAGTAAAGTGTCCTGGATTCAGTTGGTCGTAGGAGCTGGTTATCCAACACCGGTTGCTTCATCTTTGTCCATCCAACCGACACTAATAACCATCTACTCATCCCTGTCCATGTTTTATATATTGCATAAAATGTTACAGACTGTTAAGTCGATGGAGCGTTACCCACATTGTTTGCATTTTTTATTGCTAAAAACTCAGCGCAATAACAAGATTTATGGACTTACCAATTTAAAAAAAAGGTAAACTGAACTGACTAACATTTAAATATGATTCCATAGAAAAACTAAGCATACTGTATATAAATGGTTTGTTATAATGCGGAAAATTTAGGCATCTTACTTTGCTAGGTATTCATAAAGCGTTTCTTATCAATAAAATCTATTAATTAATAAAATTTTAGCTGCTTTTCATCTATATGCTACATTATTTCATACAGAAAAATTCAAAAAATACTTTTTAAAATTGAATAAAAATTGCATATACATATACATTTGAGCCCCAACCCAAGCAATCAACTACATTCTATTAGAAAAGGTGCATAATTCTATCCACTGTAAAGTGCCAAAGTCCCTTATTAATCTTCACTTATAATAACTTAGTCTTAGTCACTGCAATTCCATAACCTTTTATCCATAGCATTTATTTTATATATTCCTTTTTTAATTGTATGGCTTTATTTGGATATGTTTATAAGTTTGAAAATTCTGATGTAGCAAGATTATACAAAATCAGTGCAGTATTTAAGAAAGAAAAACATTTTACAAACTTGGTATGTAATTTTGTTCACTAGGCTAATTCTGTAGGAGGAATTATATTTCAGAAAATATTAAAAATAAAACAGTTGTACAGATAAACAGTAATGCATAAAACCAAAACCAAACAGGAAAATCGTTTTTCCCCCTTTTTCTGTCCCTTGAATTTAAGTCCCCATTGAAAGAATAACTCATATATGAAAAGAATGTTATTAAAATAAAACTTTAACTTTTATTAAATCTTTAAAAATGATTTTGCCACTAAAATAAAGGATGTGTCACAAAGCACCACAAAAAAAGCACAAACCCAACAAAAAGCACAAAGCATCACAAAGCATGTATAAATTTTCCAAATTCAATAATTTTGTTTATTTAGTCTCAGTACCTTACCGCAGTTAAATCCATACCATTGTGATGGATTATTTACTCTTTAACAATACTAACTGAACAGAAAAAGTGCAGATGTGTGAGGCGTAACTGTAAAAAAGAAGCAAGTTGTTAAATTAAGGAGATGTAGAACCAGACTACCTTGATACTTTACTGTCATTATCACCTGTGTCCTTCAGAACCACTTCAAGGTCATACAAAACTGGACTTGCCTCCAGGACATAAATTACAGATTTTTTCTTTATATGTGTCTTTTTTGTCACAAACATACACATCCTTAATCCTTGATTTACATCCTTGAGAGAATGTGATTTGGTCATCTTAACTGGAGATGAAGCAATATTTTGTAGCTACATCTGGGTTCTAGAGGAAATTTGGGTTCTGAATTTCTTTGTGTTTACTTTGGTACTTTACTTTGTTTTAATACTTCTTTTTATTAGAAAAAGGTCAATTACTGGTATTTATTTAACATAACATACCAAATTCTGGGAGAGGGGGGTCTAGTGGTAGACTGTGTGACTTTGGTCCCTGAGGACCTGGGTTCAAATCCCCCCCCCCCCCCCCCCCCCGAATCACCAATGGGTTTTACCTAAGTGATAATACCGCGACCCCTAGGTCTAGCCTGAAGTAATGTAAAAAACAATGCCGGGCTCAATCCTAGCTTCCAAGGACAAAAAAAAATTAATTACCGGTACTGGTCCTTATCTTCTGTTTTTCTACAAGTTATTTCAGTACTACCATAGCCTTTAATCTTTCTTTAATCTATGGTACTACTGATTTTATTCTTAAGAAGCTCAGCTATTAGTACTCTGTTACCTACGTCTGGAGCTAAACAACACTTGCGACGTTGCCAATTCTACCAGGCCACGGCCTGGATTTAAAGCCCTAGTTGGAGTTAGAAAGGTAAAATAAGAAAATCAAAAATTCTTGTTAACTATAATGAACACGATGAGATGATACAAACACTAGTACAGTACACGAGTTACATAGTTATGAATATTAAATAAATATTTTAAGGTGAACAATATTGAGCAGTGCTTACGGATTGAGAACTATGCTAAACTCTTAAACACATGATCACAGTGATAGGTTAGGATGAATGTTAAAATGCAGTGTTTAAGCGGAATTTAGTGTGCCACAGTGCCGAATGAGTAGGCGACGTAATGCACGTAGTCCGTTCCGGGCTTCACTATGATGCTCGGAAATGTTTCCTGAAACAAAATATTTAGTTGACAACTTTTGTTTAGTTTTAAAATAAATTAAAAACAATCTTATAAGTTAATATTTTTATGGTTTTAGAAGGGAATTCCGCAATACAGAAATTAATACAGTTTTCTTTGAATTTTAAGAACTTTGTGTTTCTTCCTGAGACCTACATAGGTAAATATGGGTTCCAACCACTGGGTATTACAAATAGCAAAAAAATCATTAGTGATTAGTAGGACTTGAACACAAGTCTCTGCCTCTAAGACCCTCGCTCTAACCAAGCCAGGTGGAATGACAGTATAGTTTAGTTGTCCTTTGTTGATTCCATTCGCTTATATGTATGTACATTGCATTAAAATAGAGAACAGAGTTCTTATCTTAAACTGCCTCAATGAAAATAAACTGTTGTGAGTTCTTGTAAGACTTACGATGTTGACAGCATTAGGATAGTTCTGAGTCTCGAAGCAGATTCCGGTGTGTTTACCGTAGGCGGCGTCTCGTTTGCCATTGAAGGCCGGCATGCCGTTGCTGGTGTAGACTTGCAGTCCTGGTTGATCTGTGTGGACCTCCAAGTATCTACCACTCTCTGGGTCAAACAGTCTAAACAAAAGTTGTCACCATACATTGAGAGCAAATTACTCACAATAATGCAGAACAATCCTAAAGACACTTAATAACAAAAATCATCAAATCTGCTACATTTCAACAAATCCACCATTTTTATAGAACCTGTTATCATTGACATTGAAAACTGCCACAAAACATAGAAATATCTTACTACATGTACACGTACAGGTGCATCATAAAAACCTACAGAAATCTATGTCAAAAAAGCTATATCGTTATTTTTTTTAAATATTGTTGGTAAAATAATGTTTAAAGTGCAACAGGTAAGATAATATAAGTAAACAACTCTTCTAGATGAAGCTTAAAATTATCTTCAAACATACTGGTATTTTAAACAATGTTGTAGAGGACTGTCCAAATCCTTGTTTTGTTGCTCTCTAAACGTTATCCTGTTTTTAGAAAATATCACTAAACAGTCCTTAGAAAATAAAAATAGACAACCTAGGTCAGATGTCCTTCTCAGTGTCCAATTGACAAGCATTTGTCAACACTGAATGTACAATATAAATTGATCCTAGATTAAGTAGACCAAATCATCCAACATTCATGTGTATACTTTTGTCAGATACCTCTAAACTCAAATGCTAAAGAGTTTGAATGCACATTGAGTAAAAAGGTTTTAACAAGTTAATTCATTGAACTGATTTTGCTTTATTTGCTTCTTTGCTTTACAAATCAGAGGGGAAATGCTTAATCACAGGAATAAAGGTGTAATATGATATAAAATTTCAGCATCAAGAAAATTTGTAAAATAATTTTGAAAATATACCGTACAAAAAAAAGTATAAATTTTCTTTTCTTTTGGAGGCAAACTAAGTAATGTAAGTTATTTGAAGCAATAAATTAATTATTTACACACACAATGTCAAAATAAGCAAGGGAGTTGGCAGAATATCTTTTCAGGAGTGGCATTGACTACCTTCTTACCTACAATCTCTACGGCATTTTATAAACTTTTTGTTAGAGTAAGAGAGTATCGAATTGAAACTAATCAAGGTAAGTGAAAAATTCACCCCCCCCCCCCCCCCCAAGGAAGTGAGAAGGGGGGTGCAAATATCTCTCGGGCCCATAGTGTGTCACATGCACCGCAGGTCTGAAACTAATGTAAAAACAAGCAACAAATAATGAATTAAGTTTACCTTGCTGCAAAATTAAACCCTGGCTGGACAATGCTGTTGTTTAGGCAGAAGTTGATGTCGTAACCATCAGTGTCTAGCTCTTTAAAAGCTTCAGCCAGCTGTTTTGGGATCCTGAGGTCGTAACCTGATCCAGCCACCTCTCTGATTTCTCCTGTAACCAAAAAGCATAGAACAAACAACCTTTTGCTAAAGATTATTGTTGTTCTTTAATTGAACTTGTAAGGAGCTAAATCAACAAGACGATTCAATTTTTTTAGTATGGCTTCATGATGTGTACATAAAAGGGCACCCCTACCTGTCCGCCGCGTGCTAATGCAAGGGTTTAGGATCTCTGTCCTTGTCGGCTTAGTTCTTAAACGATTGAAAATATTTGTATGTTACTTTATTCATTTAATATTTTTGTAGGTTTTTACGGTTGTGATTTTGTGCTAATTGTAGAAATCTAAGTCTGAAGTGACTGGTAAATACCTAAAAATAAGCTTTTTTTAAAGCATTTTACTCATGAGAATTAATTTTTTATGGAAATTAAAACCAAAGTCATAGATTTGAATCCAAGGAGAAAGAAACCTTCTTCAGATGAAACAAATTTTAAAAATTAACTGGTATAACGCCTGCAAGCGCTTCTCATGGTGCTGTTCAATGATGCAACATATAGCTACTGAAGCCCATGCTGAGATTTCCGAGTCGATGATATCCTGCTGACCAAGAACTTTTCTTGTTGAATTTAAATTTAATTCAAACAGTGAATCTTTTATTATTTCTTACAGTCCACACAGTTGAATATAGGTACTGTACAGCTAATACGACCACCATAGGGCAGTCCATGTTACAACTCAAATAAAATTTTAAAAACAGTTTTTTTTTAAATTTTGAAATTTTTCCCTTATTGTACTTTGTTTTGTTTAAAATTATCTTAATCATTAGGGTAAAGGGTTAAAAACTATTAATGTAAAGGTTAGTCCTGTCTAATGGTGCTTAATCTAGTTTTCTATTAGTTTTACAATTTACCAGTGGCGATGAAGTTTTCCAGTGGAGTGTATTTATCTGCGTTAACAGAGAGAACCTGTGTGAGTAAACCTTGAGCCCCGGAAGCCTGTAAAAGTAATAATAAATAGATAGATTATTGAATACATTAAAACCTCTTTCAAGTACAAAAGTCAAAGTCAAAGTTTTAAAAACTTCATACATTTCTCTTTAAAATTTTGAAGGTTAAATTATGTCTCCGTAAATGAAAAGTGTCCAATCTGATAATATTTTTGAAAATTCACTTTCATTTACTTCTCTGCAAATTGCAAGTCCAAACTCTCTTTGCTATTGGAAAACCACTTGGTCCATTTTCGTGCATGCTCTTTTTGTTCCTTTGTAATGTAAAAGAATTAATTGTTAAATTGTTATTGGACTAAAAATATTGTTTTCTTTAATTACTGTTACATTTAATTATTGCATTGCCAAATGAATATTTGTGGAACTGATAAAAGTTTTAACTTCTAAGATATTGACAATAGTACAGTAGCACGAGGAAATTTGCAATAATACATTGGTGGCAAGCAATTGTGAACCATTGTTTTTCTAGGATGAGTTTGGTTGTATCTTTTGGTGCATAAAACCACAAACAGCAAAAACAAATATTACATGTAACTTCACAAATGATTGGCTTCTGTACTGGTGAAGCTTTATTCTCATTGCATCATGTTGTTTAAATCTTGTCACCTGCATTGAGGTGATTCTGGTGTTAATTAGACAATCAAACTAAAACTTTACTTTGGCCATGAACCTAAAGTTTATCCAAGTATTCAGTAATTTACTGTAATTTCAACAACTAGTAGTTTGTACACAAACAGATCACTTTGTTCTGAATAATGATAGATATCAATCCGATTTACAGCTTGGGGGAAAATTGGTTAATGATGTTTCAATTGTATAATTGACTGTTGCTTCACATTATTGTTTTATTCGAAAGTGCACCATAGATGGAGCTAATTTTGAATATTGTTTGTTTTTTTATGGAAAGAGTGGAATACCCAGGAAAACTTGGGACACAGTTCATCTCTGTGGGGCTATTTATTGGTTATACTGTGGAGATCTTGATGTCTCTTGGGATTTGAGAATGCGGGTCAAAAAAGTCTTAAGCTTTTGGGACTTAAGCAAACGAATTATGGATGGCAATACTAGACGTGCTTCATTTGTATGCAGATCCAAACCAATTTAATAAACATATTTTTATGAAGAGTGGTGCTTTTTATTTTCCTTTGCCATACTCACATGGCCGGCCAGGTTGAAGTAGGCGTGGTTGGTGATGTTGACAGGCGTAGGCCGCGTGACGGATGCCCGTATCCCGATGATCAGACGATTGTCTGGAGTCAGCTGGAATGTGACAGTTGTCAGGACTGCTCCTGGATATCCTTCCTCTCCGTCAGGACTGAGGTAGGTCATGGTCACCCGATCCGGGCCCATGAATGCATCCCAGATAACCTGTAGGATGGAGGGATTGATGAAATAATCTGTTTATCGGTTTATCAAAGGATATTGACCAAGAAACAGTTCATTTGATAATTTAAATCTTCAATATCCAGTAGTAGGAAAATGAACTCTAAAATAATCTGTATTCAATTTCCTAATAGTTTTGCAGCTTAAAAGTACTGTTTGATAGCTTAAGAAAAAGAATTCTTTGCTTTTTCATTTCTTTCAGATGAAAAGTCGTCGATCAATAAACATTCAATAAGTTATAGCTAGAAACACAATCGGAACCACAATACAGTAGGTATCTAATAATGTAACAAAGCAGGACAGTAAGTTAATGTTTCTTTGTTAGTTTTCATGGGACTTATATCAATAAGTATTTCATTTTGAAAGGAACAAAATAAACGCACAACCATCATTCCAGTTAGTGGTATTTTTAGCATTATTTCTGCCCAAATGTCAAATTAATTGATAAGATGGCTTATCATTTGTAGGTATCCTTACTAATAGCATGACTAAGATGTAAAGTCAAAGCTATTTGTTCAAATTTACATTTCACTTTCCGCACAGGCTTTGGCAGATTGAAAACTTATTTTGAATTAAGTTCTTATTATAAAACTGGCAGCGGTTATAATATAAAGAATGGAATATCTTCATTACAGCAGTATACCTATAGTCAATCTTTGTTCTCAGCTACCTTGTCAAATCCTCTAAATCCTCCATGCAAGTGAACTCCTCCAACGTTCTTGCTAAGAGAAACATGTTGTCCGTTGAACAAGAAGTCTGTAGGGAATGTTCTGTTGGTCACTCTGCCAATGGTCGCTCCAAAGTAGGGGTTTTGACTTGACAAGTATCCTGGAAAACAATTATGAAATGTTTAGTAGAACACAACATTCCAAATCCTACCCCACCCCCTCACCCCAAGGAGAATAAACAAAATGGTAATGCATTTTAAGAAAACTTTGGAAACAAATACTAATCCTGCATATTCTTATATTGTAGTGCTTTTGTTGTAGTGGTATAGCACAATTTTCAATGAACTAGAAGTGATTGATGGGACTCTCCGTAGGTTTCAGTTTTGGTGCTTAAAATTGTAAAAAGTACAGGATATAAAAGATTTTATATTTTGATCCATACATTTCAAACTACTTTCTTATACATAAAGTCTAATTTATCTTTTATTTGTTAATGTTTAGTTAGAACTTTAAAGTGTATCTTTAATATATCCTAGTTAATTTCAAGTTTTCTACCACTTTCAAATACAGTAATCTCTCTCTCATTCAGATCTGCTTGTTGTGGACTTCGGATGACCTGGATGGCCTTCTACCAATGACTCTTTGCCCATTGCCAGATGAACAAAAAGTCATATTGACTGTTTATAAAACACTGTTCAGATTTTACATATACCTTTCTTGTATAGAACCTTGTTGTAGTTCACTAATTTTGCACATATAATGACTATTCATTTTTGCATTTACTCTTGATGGTATCAGACTTTAGTTTATACAAGGGTCAGGTCCTACGATTAATGGATGATAGGGAGTCTACTGTACTACTTTTACTTAAAATACTTATTTTACTTTTACGTCTGGTCACTAACCACTCATGTCATCAAAACCCAACACGACATCGTCCACGTTGCCTCTCTTGTCTGGTACTTTGATACATGTGATGGTTGCTCCATAGTTGATCACTTGAACACTCATGCGATGTTCGTTAGTCAAAGTGAACCGTCGAACGAGATGTCCCTGGCCATCGTCTCCGAAAGTGTCTTCGCACACGTCTATTCCGAGATCCATCTTTTTGGCTGGAAGCCCGGTGGAGGACTTTTTCTCATCTGTAAAGTTACTTCACGTTATTGGAACAGTAATGGTTGATTCACACACATCAGTCGAGTCACAGTCCAGTCTCAGTTACATCGGCAATTCCTAAGTCATTTATACGCCAGTAGGTTGCAGTCAGTCTTCCGCCACTTTATATACAGTAATGTTACAGTCAAGAGTTTTATTTACTAAAACACAATATCCTATACATTTTTCATTGTCCATCTTGATGATTGCTACAAACCGTACTAATAAAACATAAACACAATTGTTTAAATAACAAAAACACTATTTTAAAATATCAAACACTTACATCACATGACTTTTAGGCGTCCGAACAATCCCAAAATATCGGTGGGAAGGAATTTGAAATTAACTAACGGACGCCAGCAGAGGGACTGACGGACCTGCGTCAAAATTGTGCCGGATGAGTGTAGATAGCGCCATTTATATAGTCAATGATAGCGCAAAGGAAAATCCATTAAAAAATGAAATTATTGTTCACTGTAACCTGACTCAATTGTAACATGCTGGGACTGATTTGAGGAATAACCCTTAACACAGTTAGATGTGTGTTTAGCTTACTAATGAGTTAAGGGGGTGTTTACCTAACCTAGCGGTTAGCGTCTCGGACTTCAGTACAAGAGGGCCAGGATTTCTCGCATAACCACAAATATTTAAGGAATTTGGGCCGCTTTCGCTAACCTGCATTTTTATTCTTTTAGTCCAAAATATGACTGGTGTAGACTAATAGTAAGAATTATATGAATTATAATATTATAAGAATTAAAAGAGTATTATATGATGTTTGTTGAGAAATAAAATACTTATAGGTGCTTTGTGTTTTTAAATTCTGTAACAAAATGTTTGTCATACACACTCCACCAAAAATACCTGTTAAAAACTGATTTATTTTATCATTCCTTAATCTTTGATTTTTAAAATTGAAATTCTATAAAATTATTTATTTGTAATTGCCATACAAACAATACACAAGCCAACATTGAAGTTTTTTTATACAATAACTCAAAAAATAATACATTTTGGAGCTAACAACAGGCAGTTAATGATCAGAGAAAACTTAACATCAAAATGAATCAACAATTAACAAATATGGAAATCAGGATGTGTTGACAGTGTAATTAAGCTTTCAAAGGAAGTGACAAATTTGAACACAAATCAACATTGAAGTGTTTTGTACTGTAGCACATTCTGTACACAGAAGAGCAAATGAGGAAAATATAAGTAAAACTATTGGGAACTAAATACATTTATTTCACCCAAATGTATGAAAAACGTTTAATGAGTTTAAAAACTAAAGATGAAAGTTATACTCACACAGCACAGTTTAAGTATGGCGAGATCATTGCGAGACAATGATTGTAAGGTGGAAGGTTATAGTTATCAATCAGTTATCAGACTGGGGACATCATTTGATCGGCTGACCACTTCCGAGATCATCGGAATCATCCTCAGAGAGACACGACTCAATTGAATGATTGTGTCAAATAAACCAAGTTAATCATAAAAAAATACATTTAACGACAAACATTTTTTATCATTAAAAAACTTGTCGGCTCACTTAAGGTCAGACTAGATAATTTCATTGATATGACTTTAAAATTTCCTTAACAATATGATTATAGCTTGCTTACTTAAATTTCTCCTAAACATTTTCCAGTTTGATTTCAGAGAGTTCAAATGTCCAAAGCTAGAAAGCAACAAAACAGTCCTGTTCATTGTGGACCTTATAATTTAATATACAAACTTTTCCACTATATTCGCAGATAAATTATTAAGGGTTGCGCTGTCATTGAAACCATCAAACTATCATCCCAAATACGTATATATAAAGCACAGGAAAAGCAGAACCGAGTTTTTAGAAATTGATCAGACCCTTTTTAGTTTTAATTAAATTGTAAAAGTATATTTTATACAAGACAATTTGAAAATGCAATCAACAAGACAAGAGCTCTCAACAGCTCTTAAATCAGTGATAAATTTCAAGTTGTTTACTTAATTTCTTGACTTGAGTTTTGAATTGAAGCCAAACAAAATTAATCAGCTTCTGTCAATATGTCAAACAGATAACAATTCAAGAAAACTGGATTGGTTTCATTTTTCAATTTCTCTGAAGAGTTTTTTATTGAATTTTAACTATCATTTAGTGTTGGAATTTAAAAAAGTACCTATTTTTTTGCCCTAGGACTCTAGGCACTATCCGGGATCGGTTTTCACATTACTTCAGGCTATATTTAGGGTTGCAGAGCCGGGTTGACTAGAATTGTAATATATTATCACCTAGATAAAATCATAAAATCCAATTGGGATTTGGGCGGTTAATATTACAACAGATAATATTACAAATATTAGCAATTCAAAAACTACAAATTTAAAATCACTACAAATTAGTTTAACTACCGGTAAATAACTTTTTATTCTTTAGATAAATATTTTAGGAGAAACTTATAATGTTGGTAACATCTATTTATTAATTACGTAAGCTGATTCTTTGTGTCAAAATTGTGGGCGACTGGGAAGTCGAAGAATGACGGGAGAAGGCTCAAATTAAAGGTCTCGATCCCATGACGGAGGGTAAAAATAGTGAAATTCACAAAATTTTAATACAAAATTAGTTATAACGTAAAATGTTCTCCATAAGAATAGCATTACCTATAGAAGCCATTTAATTTACTGCTGATTTTTGTTTACTTCAATACAGCTGATCATAATTTATCACTAAGCCGGTACGCAATATTAACATTTGGATAAGACATAAGACATAAGACATAAGACATGTTTATTTCCAGTAGACATATTACAAATGTATTGGAAGAGTCAAACATTTTTCATGCAGAGCAGTTGTCAAATTAAGAAGTAAGTTACAAAGTGTACTTTGAAGTCTACGAAAAAAGAAAATTGCATTTTAAGTTATTTAATTGGTCTTAAACTAATATCACAGAGTTTAGTGATTTATAAGAGATGACTTATAATTGCCAGTCAATTCTTCAATGTACTATATAAAACAACGTTATATATAATGATTAGGACTTTTTAGTTATGTACACTAAAGAATGTTGAAATAAATTATTTTACCGTGAAACTTTTCAAATTTGTGTATTGTTAACATTTAACATGAAATAACCATTTGACAAAAAATAATTAATGATTCAAGATTAAATGGAAAACTTCTGCTTTGTTTTTATTTCAAAACATATGTTCAAGATTTATTCTACACTTTCTTTGTAAATTTACAAAAATTTTAAATTTGGGATTTATCGTAGTCGTTAGTCAATATTTTGTAAATAACTTCTTGATCAGCATTGTACGTGTTATTAAATTTACGGAAAGTAAATTAAAGAAACGTCTTATAACACTTAAAACATATATTTACGCTTATACTGTTACTCACAAGACGGTAAATATACAAAAAAGATGATAAGTGGTAATCGATTTCGATTGGACACTCCTATCATCATCAGACCCAATAAGTGAAACATTGTGTGGGCCTTAGATAAATAATATATTTCTGAGTGTGTTTAAATATTATAATTTGTATTTTACATTATTGAACTTTTTAGGGACTTATGCCCCTACAGGCCACTATATTATATATATATTATTACACTATATTATTATAGAACTAATAGGTAAGAGAACAAATTTTTATGATAAGAGAAAAATAAGGAGATTATTATTTTAGAGATACCTGAATGTTAGGTTAGATTTTTGTTTTTGTTTTGATTAAGCAAGTTAAATTAATACCTGTACTCTAGAGAAAACCCTCACTTGAACCCACCCACACATAGTTGAAGTTTATTTTCAAAGATAATAATTTAAACAAAACTTGAACATACCATTTCCAGGAATAGAAGACATTGAACAGGAGCCCAAAGACATAAACTATATTGTATGCCAATCTACTGTACTTTTTCACTGAACAGAAAGTGAGGTTAGGAAGCAGGTAGCTTGTTATCTTATCAGCTGTGAAGCCATAGTGGGAGTGAGATTGTGGACAGCTGATGTCAATTTAAGTTCATTGTACTCCACCCACTCAGTCCACAACATCAGTCATCTTTTGCATACAATTATTACTTTCACTTTTTATTGTGATGACTACAGAATGCACTTAATTTTCCAAAGTAATTTCCCACAATGTTGTATAAAATAAAGCCATATTATTTCAGTAAAATGCAAAGGTAAATTAAATTTTTTTCCGTCTCTTATAACAAAACAAATTGGAGTTTATTTGGTTAATAGTTTAAATTCTTACTGGCTTGTTTGAACTGCATTTAACTTATGAAATCGTGCAATAAAAATAGTTTGACTAATTACCAACCACACCTTTGCTCATTTGAATATAATTTTAAAATGATGAACATTTAGTTGTAACTATTACTGAGAATATAGAAACCGAAAGTTAGAATCTTCAACACACCAAAACTTCAAAATTCAAATGGAATTTTTATAGTTCAATTACATTAATAGATTACTGCATATGGTGAACGTACATTCTATATTTATCAAAATGGCCCAAAGTCATATTATTATTAGCTGAGTATAGTGACTATTAATAGACTGTACTATTATTGGTAAATTATTACCATACCTCAATACATAGTATAGACTACTGTCTATGTGTATGGGTACCTAAAGTCAACCCTAATTAATAATAATATATTAGTGTTGTTTCATCCTGCAAATTGATTATAAATCACTAATAATATGAACTTTTAAAATCATTATGATAATACATTTTTGGTAACCTATTTAAAGACTTTAACGTAGAATATTGTAGTGAGAAACCTGTGAAATAGCCTTGAAAACCCAGAGGAGATGTAACTTAACACTGCGGATAATGACGTGAACAAGAAGAATGACCCTGCTCGCTTGAACAACCCTGCTTGTGGAAGTAAAACAACTTGATAAAAATAGAATTTCTCCCATTTACATTATAACTTGATATAAATGTTTGAGGTGTATAGCTGAGCTTTAAAATTGAATATTTTAAAGTCCATACATAAACTTTGAAATACAAGTACCGTATGTAATTAACTAAAAAATAATTGTTCTTGAATTTAATTATTTAAATATTTCAAACCACACATGTTTAATCTTTAAAGGGGTTTTCAGTGTACAGTACTTATTTTACCTTATTCAAATTGTACCGTAGTAAAATTAAATGTTTAATTTTAATAGAAAATAAAAGTACATAACCTGGATTAAAAAGAAGTTGAAGAAAATATATTATACATACACTCCAAAAATTATTTTGTATTCTGATGGTGTACTACAGTATTAAACTATGAAAGAGACCATTTCGGCACAAGAAACACATAATTTAGACTTTAGACAAGTTTGAATATATCACTGTCAATGTCAGTAATATTCCAATTGATGTTTGGTGTAGATACAAGGATGAGTCAGTCCGACCCTGTTTGTATCTAGCGTAATGTTTTGTGTTTCATGTACCAGTTTGGACAAATTCTTATTCAGGTGAGCCTGCTATCGCAACAAAAGTCCTAGGCCCGTTTATTCTATGTACATTATTAACCTCATAGTACACACTAAGAGCACAAAATCATTTTTAACTAAATTTAATTAACTATCATTTAAAAAAAGCCAAACCATCATCAAAATAATTAATCAAATAAAAACTAAAGTCAACATTTAGATTTTCTTTTTTATTGTATTTAAAATATGAATTAGGCAACAATTGAAGATAATAATTGAAGGAATTGAGATATAAACGAGATGAGTATGGTCTAGTATTACCTTAAGGATTGTTGGCAATGTGAATGTGGTATTTGAACAACTATATATATAAATACAGTACTAAGGCCAAGGCACTCCAATAAATACTATGACTTAAAACATATGCATGGCAAACAAACCATTGATGCCAAACCTAATTTTACCTATCACATAAAGCGTTCCCAAGCATATTCAATCTTATCAACAAGTCTTACCCAAGGTACAACGATCATTGTAGTAGTCTTCTATCATCTTCGCCCTGTCACCTCCTTTGCACAAGCCTAGACTCTGACTCAGACCCGGGCCTAGTGACTGTGACCCGGACAATACAGTGTCGGGTGACATGACCCAGACTGTAGACAATAGCACCCGGAGACACCCTAACTATGGATCAAGTCACTTACCTGCTTCATTGAGACAAGGTTGCACATAACATAATGAAACATAACATAATGAAATCTCAAAATCAAATCGTTTCTTAAGACTTCAACATTTTTTGAAAACTCTCAGATTTTATTTAGTAGTGTTTTGTAATTTGTTGGGTTGGTTGGAGTATTCAATCAAAACTGATAACAATTGAATTTCTGTTTTAGTTTACCCATTTTGGGAATACAGCAAAAGCTTGCATATTGTTTTGATGTTTGTAGACCTGCATCTGTCAAAAATGCAAATACCTGTTTGAGACTAAGAGAAAAAAGTTAGAATTTTACAGATTATGATTATATGAGTCTTATTTTGATGAAATGCCCAGTAATAAGGACAATCAATAAGATTTATCAATCAATGCACAGTTACCAAGTACCCCAACATTACCTAGACCTAGACTACTCCCATTGGAAATTGAAATGAACTTAAATCAAATAACATGCAACTGATTTGGTTAAATAATTTATAAATAAAGTCACCAGCGCTAACAAATAGTTGGGTTGAATTCCTCACAAAGGACAAACTAGTAAAACATACACCCCGTTTTCTGAACTGTAGAAATTTTATCTAATATTTGTTTTTTCTTTTTGTTCCAGGCATCTGACTCACCTGCAGAGGACGAGGATGAATTATCATCAACTAGGTCACATAGATTTGAGAGACAAAGACAGTCAGCTGAGCCAGATAGTGATAGAGGACCAATAAGTAGATCAAGGAGTAGAACAGTAGAAACGGAAGCTCAAGTAGACAGCAGACGGCCTGGGTCAAGGCAGAGAGAATCAGTTGTTGACGACTCAAACTTAAGACAAGGAAGTAGAAGAGGGAAAGGACTGACTCTTAGGTCCCGCAGTGAGCCTGAAGAAGAAAACCACTTAAGCACTGAAAGAACAAGAAGTAGAACCAACAAGGAAGAAAGAAGAAACGGCTTTCCTTCAAGATTGGACAGTGATGTCATCAGCCATACTGAATCAGCCACAGTTAGATCTCAGAATATCAACAGTAGATTTAGTGATAAAGAAAAAACAAAATCAAGAAATGAAAACAATTTTACCAGAAGTAGTCCAGTTGAAAGGAGGCCTTTGTTACCAATCACTAGTATATCACCAGAAGATGTCACTTTTCCAAGTAGATCACGATCCAGGCAGACCAAAGCTCCAGAAGAAGCTATCACCTCTGAGCCTAAAGGAAATTCAAGAAATTTACAAAGATCTTCGGAAGGTACTAGACTTCGATCCAGAACTCTTGAGCAAAATTTCCCCAGCAGGTCTTCAAGCAGAGGCACAACCAGAAGTCGTGTACCAGAAGTGACAAGTGGAACATCGACTCCTTCAAGAACAAGAAGTGAATTTTCACCTCTCCGTCGTAAACCCATTGACCTGCCAGGGCAAGATGTAGAGTCTAAAATATTCAGCAGAAGAAGAAATTTAGCTGAAGAAAAAGTCAAAACAACCATTGATGATAGTTCAAGCAAGACTGGTTTTGTATCCGATAAGGTTAAGTCCACTTTACCAGTGACTAGTGAAGGTTTCACTGAACTCCCTCTTTATAGTTCAAATGCAGGAACAGAAGAAGTAATCAATTCAGACATTCCAGTGAACAAACAAATAGAAAATGTAGTTGACGCTTTACCAACTGCATCAAACGATGCCTTGACCTTACTACCTAATGAAGTTCTTCAATCAACCCTCCATGCCAACGTCAGGGATCGATCAAAACCTCAAGATTCACCGTTAAAAAACAATGATAATACTGGTTTGACCAAGGCACTTCACGCAAGATCCAGGGGACAAGAGAGACCTTCAGAGAATGAGTCTGAAAATGTATCTAGAAGCAGAACAAGACAGAGAAGTAAAGAGTCTGATAGTGAATCTCGTAAGCCAACAAATCGTGGAAGAATCTCAACTTCAGAACCAGCTCAAGGATTATCAACAGCTAGAGAAAGATTTAGTCCAAGAAGTAGAGGGAACTTATCCAACAGAGAATCGGAACAAAAAGAAGTTGATGCAAGCAATACAAGGACAAGAGCCCAAGTTAGATTTCCAACCAGAACTTCTGCTGAATCTCGAGGAAGTGCGGAGTCGAGTACTGAAGGTTCAACCGTAAACCGTGGCAGAGCAACTTCTGTGAACATAGCAACTCCAACTGTTGAGTTGCAAACGGAATCTTCTCCTATAAGATCTCCTTCAAGGTCAGGAGGTCGAAGAACTCTTCCTAAGCCGACAGCAGACTTAGAGCCAACAGCCAAACCTTCTCGAGGGAGAGGACAAGTCAAGCAAGGAAAATTGAATGACAATGAGGTAAGCAAATGCCACAAACTGTATGACAGAACTATAATTATGGATAATATAGAAACAGGAGCTAAACTATATAACATTGAACTTAGTAATTAACAAACACAACAATTTTTCTTTAGCCAACTGAAATCTGCAATAAATGTTCTTAATTTTTTAAGGTTTTTTATCTTGTACAGTAATTGTTAAAATATTAGAATTTCCCCTAAATTTTTTAAGGTTTTGTATAATATTTATTTTTATCTCTAGAAATAATATATGGCTTTATACATATGTACATTGTATAGTTCTTATCCTTTGCATGTAAAATTTAAATTTCATGCAAGCTTTTCTAAATAGTTTGTCCTTCACATATTTCCTTAAAAAAAAAAAGAAAATGAAGAAGAGCTCTTGTTATGAGTATAGGGAACATATTAACATGAAAATAACAACACTGCCTTAGATACTTAATTCATTCCAGATTAAATTGCACAGTAGTCATAACAAATATTATTTTTAAGGGCGTGGGGTTTAATGGATATTTGAAAGATCAACTTGTTAAAGCTATAAATTAAGACGCACCTCTTTTCAAAGAATGGAGTTGATATAGCTAAGATGACAAATTTGAGTCCTGGAGGTCATAGTCAAACAAATAAAGATTGCACAAACATATACTTAATAGATATTTCTTGCATATCTAATCTCTTTTTTACGATTTTCTTGTACTTCTACGAGCCCTCTGGACCTCAATATTCTCAGGTAAGCTAGCTAAACTCAATTCCTTTCTAAAAACCCCAAATTAACTTCATGGCTATCCCTTATGAATTAATTGAAGAACAGTATCTCTAGTTAATTATCTAGTTAAAACTGGATTATTATTTTAACTACCGGTACGCATATAACAAGATGGTTTTTCTACAGCCAAATATTTACTTTATAAACAGCATGATACTTGAATCAATATGATCATGAATCGTTGTTTTTCACTCCATTTCATTCCTCTCATAAATTCACCATATTGCAAAGCACGTAAGTAGGAGTTTTTGCTTGAGCACTCATTTCAACGATCAAGGCATCATGGGACTTCAGCTTCATGCATCCGCACGCTCATTCCACAGCACAAGTAGTTTACATTCCTCCCACATTGGTCGTGGATTTTCAACGGAATCATGATTCCAGAAAGGCTCTGGCAGTGGAAAGGATGAAGACGTCAGCGAAGATGACAATTATCCCGAAGTTTACAAGCAGCTTAAGAAAGCCGGAAATGGACCTAAAGAGATTCTGGTAATGTTTTGAGTGGGGTTTATTTTGCACAGAGTTACAGACAAAACTGTCTCATATATAAAAATTAGGTTTATTGATGAAGGCTGGATTTACATTGTAGAACTTCATGAACATTTTGAATACACATGACACATGATTAGATAATTTGGAAATGAACTCTGTAAGCTTTATTGATTTTTAGAATAGAAATTTCCATACCTGTAGAATATTTAATCTTGTTTTACATTTATTTTAGAATTTATAAAGAAACATTCTTAGAAAAAAAAGCTAAATTCTAAAACAAACTATAGAGTAAACCACATGAAAATTGTTCTGTGAGAACTGAGACAATGTTGCTTAATTTACATGGAATTTCAAATCATGACTGTTATTCGTTTTAAAACAACGCCTATGATACATCGCAACATCGCAATTGCTCGAATTCGAGCAACAGGTACACTAGTAATTATTAATTAAGACTCCAATTACTATAGGTTTCTTGATAAATCCCTCAGAATCAGCAGCCTAATGGGTTCTTTAAGATTTAAAGCATACACCTAGAAAATAAGTATGTCTTGCGGCCAAGTTCTAATTTACTACCTCCTTGACGGCCTTAAAAGTTCTGCTATGAAACAAAGGTGTCCAAAATTTATTGAATCGTTGAATATCAAAAGATGTTGGCCATATTTCTCATCCCTTTCGTATAACAGGCTTTGCTGAAGGCGAAGAAAAAGCAGAGAGAGGCTCAGCAAGCTCAGCGCAGACAACAACAACAATCAGCGACTGCCGAGGCAACTACTGCTGCAACCTTCTTTTCTGTATGTACTTGTCTCTACATGTATCATTATCATCCAGACATGAACACAATGCTGCATATTTTATTAATCTGAATATGAGTGTAGAATGGAGAGGAGATGCAAATTATACCTTTGATACTAACATCAGCTCTTTCTTTGGTCAGGATCAACCTGTATTATCGACACCTTAATGAAAGGCAGCTGGGGCTTGATTTTGAATTTTTATTTTTATTTTTAGAGGGTTGTGAGGGGTTGAAGAGTTTGAAACTTTAACAACTTAACATTTTACACACACTCTAATATTACTAAGCGCATATCTAACTAAAAGAATAAACTGACTTCAGATATTTGCTTTATAAAGATACCAGACTTGCCAACTCTGTAATTGAGAAGTAAAACCTTCCAAGAGAATAACAATTCAATGAGTATGAATTTTCAAGTTTCAAATATCATGTAATAGCTCCAGAAGTGTATAGGAGAAACCAACCATAAACTCAAGGTTTTATTAGTATGGCCTTTGATCTGTTAACTGATATTAAATTTTAATAACCAAAAATATTTAAAATGAGTAAAGGTAGATATGATTTTTTACAGGATTTGAACACTGAAGAGGACAATGTTAAGCCATCTATTGAGTCTTCACTGAGGCGAAGACCATCTGAAAAGTTCAGCAGAGAAGCTGAGTCAAGTGCAACTGAAAGAAGTTCTTCTCGTTCAGCCAGTAGACAAAGAAGTCTCACTTCCCGTGGAAGTAGAAATTATAATGATCTTGGTAAAGCGGAAGAAGAAGTATTGGTAAACACGCAGAGTGTTCGGACAGGAACGGACAGCAAGGACTACAAAAAACTATTAGAGGAAAGAAAGAAAAAGTACTCAACAATACCCAGAGAAAACGACTTTGATCAAGACAAAGAAAATGGTGTTGAAATAAAATCTGAAAAACCAAGTTACTCGAAGGATTATTTGAAAAGTTTGAACGATCTCGGGCTGGATCCTAAAACTCTGGGACCGACAGAACCGACCACAGAACGAGAGAGATTTGTGCCATCTTCGAGGAGAACAAAGTCTTACAGCTACAGAGCTAGCACTGAGCAAATAAGCGATGAGGTACTAAATACATCCACGTTCAAACCTAGGTATCAACTGTATCAAGCAAAAAATAGGAAGAAATATTTAAATAAGCTTGGTGGGAAAGAAAGTTTGGGAAGCAAAGAGGAAACTTCTATTGAGTCCGGTAAGTCCACAACGGTAACAACTGATATAGGCCTACTATAGTTGTAGGATTAGCTATGATTAATTTACTAGTCCGTATGGGTAGATTTGAAAAAAAAATATTAATAAGTTAATACATTTTACTACCTCCTCTATATAGTGCTATTTTTTTCTAACATGTATCACTAAGAGACATTATTAACTTACCATGAACAACCAATGACCATTATTGACTTGGTATTATTTTTATTAAAAAAAGTTGCCAATCATAAGACATATGACACATGAGCTAGCAACTTCCTGTGTGAGGAGACAACTCTAGATTGACACGAGATAATTACTACTTTCACTTCATCAGCTGCTGGCAGTGGTGATCTCTCTTGGCGAGTCAAGAGCTAAACTTTTAGCATCACCGGAACTTTTAGGCATCTCACTATTCAATTAAAAAAATATTGGCCAGTAAGTTCTAAGTAAGTTGTCTTATTGCAGTGAAAATTTAATTAAAAAAAAAACTTTTTGGATTCCTCCAGTTACAATTTACCTAATGACAATGTGAAAGGACATTGTTAGTGGAATATATTGTTCTAAGAACATACCTTTTCTATGTGTGTTTCTGCTTTCTTAACTATGATTACAAACCAATCAAACGAGCAGCCTTAAAAAAAAACTTTCAGATTTTAAGCAAGTGGACATTCTCATAGTAATATATAAGCTAAACAATACATGATCTATAGTGTCTGTAGTGCTCGTGGTTTACACCACAGCCTAATCAGAATCAGGTAGACAGAATAACAAAAGTTCACATTTCTATGACCCGACCACAAATAGTTTGTTTGGGTTGGACTACTGAAGGTTGACAGTGGTGAAGAGACGGACGGACATGGACGGCGTTTTGGTCTAGGTGGAGAGAGGATCAGGTGATTTTTTAGCCAATGCCTTTTATTGAAAATTGTATGATAGTACAGTTACATGGTGTTGTGATGTACATGGAAACTAAAACAAAAACGAATACCGCTAATATTCATACATTACAGTGTCCACCAAAGTTATATTATTTTGTGTATCTGATAAAAATAAAGCAAAGCAACATTACAGTGTTGGATGAAGAAGTAGATCAGAAAGTGAAGAAGCTGAGGTTTGGAGCTTCCTCTCGTCCGCCATACACCCCTCCCAGACGAGTTACAACCCCCCTCCCTCCGCCACGACTCTCAGCGCGACGCCCAGGCCGCTTCACCCCCAGCTCTATCTCTGTGGCGTTTGACAAGCCTGATGACCAAGAGCCTGTCACAATCCAAGTTTTTGTAAGTGTAAAATACAAATTAATTTAAATTTCAACCCCTTAAACACTTGTCCTAACTCTATTTGATGTTCACTGTGTAGAATGTGCGTTGATAAGTCAGGTATTTCAAAATAGCAGTCTCAGATACTATAGCTGTCCTGAAACTTTCAGGACCTACAAAACGATCCTTTACTTTTCCTGTAAGGTAAAGGAGGAATCAAGTATACGATAGAAGATCAAATATAAGTCTGAAGAAGTTTTGATTGATGTCTCAAGTTGGTTATTACTTAATACTTTTTCATTGAAATGGCGACCATACAAAGTGGGTATTTTAAGCCAAGTATGAAGGGTTTGAGAGTGTTGATGTTGAGTACATTTTTCTTTCATACTTTTTAGGTAAGAGTTTACATTTGTCCTTTACTTTTTGTTTTTGAGAAATTATGTTACAAACAATATTTTACAAAATATATATTTTGTTAATTGACTATGCCTGCATGATATTCCCAAACATATTTAAATGGACATTTTTGATGCTTTGTCTAGGATTTAGAAGCAAGAGCGCCAAAGCTAGAATCAGCTAGTCTAGTGACTGAAGCATCATCTACGGCTATGACTTCTTCATCTGAAACACCGTCTATGGAGGGTTCTTCTGAACAGTCTTCATCCGAGGCTTCTTCAGAAGATTCTTCTGTTGAGACGTCTGTTACAGAATCGCCTTTGGAGAATTCGGTGAGTACAATGATTCATTTTGCCATGATTCCTGTTTAAAATATGCATGGAAACGTATGATCTCCCCTAAAAGTTACAATATTCCTGAAACTTGGTAGTTGTTAAAAACCAATGCAGTCCCTTAATTTATAATGTTCCTTTGAACTTGGTAGTTAGTATTTAGAGATACAGAGCTACTCTTGTTAACAACTAATATAAACAATTTTAACACTTATTTTAACCAAGAAGTTTCTTTTTTACTGATGCGAAAGTTAAAGATCTCTTCAAAATTATTTATGCTGGAATAATTAGTTTTGAAGGTCAATAAATGATTAATTAAGAGATGTAATAAAAATCTCCCATCAATTACAGTCAGAAAATTTGTTTTTAAATTTTCTTCTCAATTTTTTTTTACTTAGTGCGCCCACAATCCCCATATTGCGATCTTTTGTAATACCAATGTCAATTTATATTCAACTATATTATTGACAAAAATATTTACTTGTACATAATGATTCCCTTTCAATTTATTAATACAACCAGATTGGTTCAACCTAAAGGTTGGCTTTTTCAAGTTCTATCCTTACATCATCAAAAGTCTACAACTTATTCATAGTGAAAAAGCATTTTGATTCAATAGCTTAAATCAATAGTCTTTTAAAATAGTTTCAAGAATTGATTTACAGTTGCGTTTAACTCTTTTGATGCCAGAATCTTTTTTGTAACTTTCCAAAAAAATTCTTAAGTAATTTACATATTTCGTCCAAAAAAAGGTAGGCATGCCACGGGGGCAAAGTCTAGTGTGCGAGAAAAAAAATCGGTAAAAATAAAATGTTTCATCTCAAAAGTGCTAAGGAACGATATATTGGGCCTCGATTGTATGAGGAATCAAAAGAAACGATCGCTGTTTTGAAACAACAATCTAGTCAACCGATTTAAACCCTCATGATCGAAAGTCGTGCCGGCACAATATATCTTCCCTTAGTACTAATCAGAAGAAACGCGATCAACGATATATCGTTCCATAGCACTTTTCTGGAAAAAGACGCACAGCGATATAATAATGACTAAAAATTTGCAAGTGTATAATTAACTTTTACTGACGAAGATGAAATTTAGTTTCATTGTTGTATAATAAATATGCAAAAATTATACATTTAGATCAAATGTCATGCACAGCATTATATAATACACATAACTGCAAACTTATACAAAGTAAAAGCATGATGCTTTAGCACACTAGTCGCTTCAACAACTTTTATTAATTTCAGGTTATTGACGATGAAACAGTCGTTCCTATGTCCATATCCACCTCCCCGGCAACAACAACATCAACATCTACAACAACACAACCATCCACAACCACGACAACAATATCTGCAAAAACAACAATATCGACAACAGTGAAACCTAAGACAACTAAAATACCTTCAACTACTACAACAAAAAAGCCTGTAACAACCTCAACGACACAAAAGCCTACCACAACAACTCAAAAGCCTACCACAACAACTCAAAAGCCTACCACAACAACTCAAAAGCCTACCACAACAACTCAAAAGCCTACCACAACAACTCAAAAGCCTACCACAACAACTCAAAAGCCTACCACAACAACTCAAAAGCCTACCACAACAACTCAAAAGCCAACCACAACAACTCAAAAGCCTACCACAACAACTCAAAAGCCTACCACAACAACCCAAAAGCCAACCACAACAACTCAAAAACCTATCACAACAACACAAAAGTCTTCAACAACAACAACAAAAAAGCCTAACACCACAACACAAAAACCTACAACCACTACAAAAGCTCCTTCAACTACAACCACAACGAGAAAACCAACAACACAAAAACCCACCACAACAACTAAGAAACCACCAACACCCACAACTCCAAAGCCAACAACCAAGAAACCAGTCTCAGACAAAACCCCACCATCTGCTCCAAAACCACCCCAACAACAGAAGCCTCTGACATCATCTACCTCAACAACAACAACTGAAGCTGCAACTACTGAGGATCAGTTAGCGGCAAGATCTAACTTAGTACAGAAGTCTGAGGTATCAACAGTTCCGGAAATGATCTTAACTTCAGCGCAGACGCTTCAGCCATTAACTTTCACCAGCTCCCCCAGCAGCACTAATCGTCCACAATCCGAGAGTTCCTCAGGCTATGTTGCTTACGCCCTTTTGCCAAACAACACCTTAGTAAGACGGGTGTCTGCTAGATCAACGACGCCCCCAACTGAAGTCCCGTTTTTTGTTTATGGACTCTATCCCAACGGTACAATCGTCAGGAAGTACCCCAATGGTACAGTAGTACCTGATGATCCATCACCAGAGTCAAACGAACTGGTAGCTGAAGTTGATCCGTACAATAAGAAGGAGCTGAGCGACATTCTGGAACGTGATAGACCTTTAGCGTATCTCTACCCGGCCACTTCCTCAACATCCTTGGTACGGAGAAGTAGCAAAACTGTTATTTTTAAAGATATATACCGTTTGAAAGGTTTGAAAAAAAAAATAAGTTTGCATTTTCTTTATGTTGAGTTTTACACTACAAAAGAAAACACTTTAATATTTGCTGCAACTGCATGAGCTTGATGCATGAAATAAATCCATAAATCATTAATTTTGCTATTGAACTAGTCTATTAGAGTAGGTAGATACATTAGTTCAAAGTTCTGACACATGAACTGGTTTTGGATTTCAAATTTAGATTTATTCCTAACATAAATAATTTTAGGTCCTTTTTGGTAAGTTCATGGATCTTTTTCAGGAATTTTTTTTATTTATTTAGGTTTCATCATTGGATGTCATTTCAATGAAAACTATAATGTGGCACAATACATAAATATTGTTGATTTTAAGAGAAGAAAGTTTAAGAAAAATGAAGTTAGTATAAGTACCGGTAACCTCTAATTTCACATATGCTTCCAAATTTGCATGAAATATTTTTGAATCTTAAGGACTTTCTGAAATTTAGAGCTAATTGAATAAAGATACCTAAGTGTTTTATTATATTTTTGCCAACTCTTTGATTTGATGTTTTGATAAAGCTTTTGTTGCCCTTAAGACTGCATGCATTGTGAAAAATGTAAATATTCATCAATTGTATGTTTGTATATATTATTTCAGACTCCAACCTCTATGGCTTCAACTGAAGCAACAAGCACCACTATTTCTTCCACAACAACAACCACAGAATCTACAACCTTTTCCACTACAACAACTACTACAACTCAAAAACCAACAACCACAACTAAAAAGCCAACAACTACTACCAAAAAACCTACACAAAAGCCAAAACCAAAAGCCGCTACAACTCAAAAAACTGTTACCACTAAAGCTACAACAACTTCTACTTCTCCCACACCAATCACCACCCAACAGACTACCACTACCACGACAGAAATACCACAACCATCACCAACTACAACCACGACTCCGGAACCAACAACCACTCCTCAACCAACAACAACCACTCCTAAACCCACAACAACTCTCAAACCAACAACACCTAAGCCTACTACTCCCAAACCAACTACTCCAAAACCAACAACTCCCAAACCAACTACTCCAAAACCAACAACTCCCAAACCAACTACTCCTAAACCATCAACCCCTAAACCAACTACTCCAAAAAAACCATCAACTACCACGCCCACTACCACTACTACGACCACCACAACCTCAACTACAACGACAACTACGCCTTCTACAGCTACAGAAAAAAACATAGAACCAATGATTGTAAGTGGTGTGGAATCTGCTTTATCTTCTCCATCTTCTCCAAAATCTGAGACCAAAGAGAATGATGAGGACTGTGATATTTGTGGTGATGAGGTTTCTTCTTCTTCTAAAGCCACCCCTTCTAATGGTCTTTCCGAAGATGATGTAGCTCTTCTTAATAATTTGGTAAGAATTAATCAAGAAGTTCATGTCTATTTGAATTTGGAATCAAGTTGAGGTAATATTTGAAAGCACATGAGTAAACTGTACAACAAAAAGTTGGGGGTTCCACACTACCTATGACTTTTAACATTTCATACCTTCCTTCTCTTCCTTGTAGACAAATTCTGAAAAGCTTTTGAATGTAAAAATATGCTTTGTAAAACAAATCTACACTTTCCACAACACAACAGTTTGATATAAGCTTTGCTATTTTTCTTACTTTTCACATTGAATAATTGATTTTTTCCTCTCTTTTTGCTTGAGTCTACCTAGTGGATTTTTTAATTAAATGAATTCAAACGCTTTTTTTAAAAGTGATCCAAATCCATAAAATGTTTATGGTTTTTTATGGATCCGTAGTCCGAGACGCTAACTACAAGACTAAAACAAGTTTTAACTATACACAGTGAGTTTTAATTGTCCTCCCCCTCAAACTTTTTTCTATATTTTTCAAATGTCAATCCCAGACCACCTTCAAACATTGTTGGGTAGTAAGTACAGTACTTCATTTTGGCAAGGCAGTAATTTCCCCACCTTTACATTTGAAAAAATATATTTTGTATCCAATATGGCGAATCCAAGATGGCGGCCGGAAATTACCACCTTGTCAAAATGAAGTACTTACTTACTGCCTAACAATGTTTGGAAGTGGTCTTGGATTGATATTTGAAAAAAAGTTGGAGGGGGACATTTCAAACTCACCCTGTATAAGTTGCAATAGGTACTCTACTACAGAGTATTATTTGCTGTTTGAGATATTCTGATCTCAGTATTTCAAAAATCAACTACACACCCAATCAATTTGGGAATTTAAAGTTTGTTTCTTCTTTTTCCTTGTAGATATACTCCAAAAAGCATTTTACCGTAAAAAGTTTGGAAAACTCATTTGAACTTTTCTATCCTAGTTAGTTAAGCTTGCAATTTGTATGCTTAGTTGGCCTCTATATTCATAGCCTATCCTTGAACATACATGTTTAGTGTTGACAAATGAAAAATGACAATTCTTTATTGCACATAACATCTGTTAGAGTTATTACAAATGTAATACACAGACAGGTACATTGTCAAGGTTTCTAATAAATAAGTAAATCTAAATAGGTGTTCAACTACATATATGGGTTTAATTGCCGTTTGCGACGTTTCGGTTTGATGAATGTTTCATTGCTTGTGTGTTGTACAGTTGAGACTCCAGCCTAGCGACTCAGAGCGCAGCGCATCTGTTGATTCTTCTTCTTCTCTCCCACCCTCTGGGCCTGAGGATGATGATATAGCAAATAGGGTTTGTAACTTTTGTAAAAATGCATGTGCGAGTGTTTAATCTTGTTTAAGATTTTCAGGCTATTTAGCAATTCAGAAGAATAATGTTATCTCTGACATTCAAGTTTCTTAGATTCAAACTCCCACTTTTTCCTGTTTTGATTCAACCTTGATTCAATTAATTAGGTATGTAAAAAGTTTGTGTTGCAAGTGGAAGTTTGACAAAATACGACTACTTTCCTGTGAACATAAAAAAGTTGTTGGGCCTTATTTTGATGCCTAAAGATGGTTTCATGTTTGTGCACCGAAACTAGTTTCCACTGCAACTAAGTAGGATTATTGATACAGGTATGTAAACTACTATATTATATAGACAAATTTTACATTACAGATTATCCAGCTGGCCATAGAGCGAGCTCAGTCCACTACTGCCAGCCCCGTATCTGTCTCTGTCTCAACGGACGGACTTGATCTCCAACAACTGTCCTCCAGTCCTCAACCGGTAAGTAGCACTCTGCTGTCTGCATGCGCTTTTCTATGGCTTCAGCACTCTTCTAATCTTGAACATCTATGAAATTTTGCCTTTAGCAATTTAGAAACATCACTGGAAAGATTACCTACGGTATTTTACAAGATTGTATTAATGACTGCGAATGTAAATGTTGTAGAGTTTTGAGCGAGATGGCAAGAGCATCGCTCCTCCTATGATGGACTCCATGGCTGTCGAGACCTCACCTCCACCCAAACCTGGAGGGAAAATCTCCCTTTGGGTTGTGCCTGAAGGGGAAAATGAACAAACTACAAAGGCTCCACAGAAGGTTTGTTGCTATATTTCTGTTCTTTCAAGATAAATGCTAAGCGAGGAATTAGCTAGGATTTTATTTAGCTTCTAAAACTATTTATAGGTATCTAAATCAGGGCTCATTTGATTTAAATATTAGTTGAACATCAACATCACAATTTCTGAATGTGTGTTTGTGTGCAAGCAAAAAAGCTGAAACTGCACCCTTTATTTGTAAAATTTGAAATCAGCTCATAGAAACAGGGGTTTGTACCCTAAAACCTAATTATTTTCACTTTTGTGCCCATTTTTTTACATGGATGAAAATTATTTTCACCATTCTTAAAGGATTTACAATTTAGTAACATTGAACTAAAATAAATAATTAATTTTATCACAACCCAAAATATCTCAATCCTTGCAAACTCATGAGTTAGGAATTATTTTGTTATGGCCTATGGCTTAAAATATTAGATTTACAAATGTGTATTCAAACTTTCTTAAAATTCCAGCTTTCTCCAGAGGAAGAGCAAGTTCTAACAGCACTCTTGGCAGCTCCTCAGTCTCCCAGCTCTATCAGTGTCAGGGATCAGCTGTTGCTTGCTGTGAGTCTTTTTTCTCCTTACAATATTTTATTATATATGTTATATTCTTTAAAATTTATAATTATGCGAACGAGATAATCTTGAAAATTAAGAAGTTAAACGGGGCAAAGCCCGCGGGTTACAGCTAGTATGTTATATTCTTTAAAATTTATAATTGTAAACATAAACATAACCTTCAGTTTTGTGATGTGTCTGATGATGCCAGCAGCATAGCTGGCGAAAGGCCTCATAAAAATTAAAAATTCAGATATATTGGCGAAGTTATTATTTTAAATTAGTATTAATTCCAATATAAACAGTTCTTCTTGAAGAATATTTTATTAGTTTCTAAAAAATGTTTGAGAGTATGAAACAAGAACCTCCTTCCAATTTTTCTTGTAAAAAATCCGATCTTTTCTTGTATGTTGATGTTGGTTGGAGTAACTCTATAACCGTTCAACTAAGCTAGATTATGAACAGGACTAATCTTGTTTAAAACTGCCGGGGGCCTCAGCCTAAGAGGGTGCCTCACTTGGGGCCTTTTTTCTTTATAAATTTATTTCACCGATAATCTTTTTTGCGGGAGATGTTGATGAAATCAGCGCCACTGCAAAATAACTTCACTATTTCTCCGTAAGCAAAGGAGTTGTCCACTATTCAATTCCGATCGCGGAGGATCTTTATGATTTCATAATGATCGAAGGAGACGTAGACAACTATTATTATATGCGGTCGCGCATGACGCTAACTGTTTTTTTTTGCAGCCATAGAACACTTTCATAATTTTGCTACGATCAGAGGTCTCCGCTCTTGCGAAAGCCGCAAACAGTTACTCCACAGCCATTGGAGACGTTCATGATTTCACCGTCATCGGAGGCGACGATGATGACGTCCTCGCCCTCATGCAAGATGCTAACTATTTCTTCGTGGCCATAGTAGATGTTCATGGGGAGCGAGCTGGCGTAGTGGTTAGAGCGCGGGACTTCAGTCCCTGAGGTCCCGGGTTCGATCCCCGCCGAGTCACCAATGGATTTTATCTAAGTGATAATGCCGCAACCCCTAGCCTGAAGTAATGTGAAAAACAATCCCAGGCTCGTACCTAGCGTCCTTAGGACAAAAAAAATAAAAAAAATAAGAGATGTTCATGATTCCAGTGTGTCTGGAGAACACAGGAGATATTCATGATTTCACCGGGATAGCAGAAAACGAAGATGATGTCTCCATGATCGCCCATGATGTTCACTATTTTGCCCTGAACGTAGACACAACCGTTCACAATCCCTCCGCGACCGCGCAAATGTGCACGATATAAATTATGTTGTAAATGATTTATATTTACATGATAATCATTAGCTTATCACTGACTTGAATTTTTTCAAGCAAACCTTGAACATAACTTTGTAATTAGTTTTTCCAAATATTAATGAAACAATATTTGATGCCTTCAAAATGATGGGATGGAGATGGGATGATGGGAAGATGGGCGGTGATGGGATGGGAATGATGAGTGTAACTAAAATGCTGCTAGGACTCATAACAAAAAAGGAAATAGTAGATCACCCTGGTAGATACCATAGTGGGATTTAAAGAGGATGCCTGAACTAAGGGCGGCTAAAAGAACGAGAACAAAATCCAGGCCTGCCTGATAAAGGGAAATAATCTAGTGCTGTGTGTTGCACAAGGGGAGGAAAACTGAACTGAGATTGTGAGGATAGAATTGAAAGACTTGGAGGAATGCTAGATAGAGACTCTTAACTTTGCTTTAGAGTAACTAATTCATTAGAGTAACTCTATTCAATAAACAACCTATAGTTTCTATTTGTTTTCTAAGTACACATGAGGTATTTGTAAGGGTTTGGGATAAGTTGTTGTAAAAATTATAATGTAAACATCAACTCAGGTGTTGACTTCACCTGAGTAATATCAAAACTTTTAAAATGTGATTTACCTAGATGTGAAAACAGAAGAACAATGTTTTCATTCTGTGTTCACTTGCCTCACTAATGACGGATAATGGACTAAATTTATTTTTCAGGAGCTGCTGGCTGCCGGTCAAAACAACAACCAAGGAGGCCAAATCTCTACAACAAAGAGGCCAAGAAAGAAAAAGAGGCCTTCCTCCACTCCACCTCCTCCCCCTCCACCTCTATCACCACTGGCAGCCCTCTTTGGAGCTGGGGGAAGAGTAAGTGGAGTTTAAATGGAAAAGTTTAAGTTTACGTTTACATAAACCAGTAGCTTTGCAGCAAAAGTTTGAGTAAATGGGTACTATAAAACATAAAACATCAGGTATGTAAGGCTACTTTATAGGAATAAGCAAACTTTGTATCACCGCTGATTGCAGAAAGTTACATATCTTGTATACTCAATGATTTCTTCAGAGAAAAAATAATCATGCTTTATTTCTTGTTAGTTACAAATTCTTACATAATATTATATAGGTGTGCTGGTTGAATGATAAGAAAACATTAATACATGAAAACTAAATTTTCAGGGAGGAGGATTGTTTGCTTCTGGAGCAGCACCACCCACAGGATCTGGAGAGGTATGTAAAAGTGGAAATGTTTTTGTGAAGAGAGGGATAAAGACCAAATATATATAAAATATGAAATATATAGTATGTGTAAAATAGCAACACTAAAATGGTTTTACGTAATAATTTCATGATAATTTCTAAGGTAAAGAGGTAAGGGTAAAGAAGCGTACCTTGTTTCTACTATATACTGAACTTGCCCTTGCTTTGTTTTGTTTCATGTGTTTGCTACATTTTTAACCATCCTTGATAATAATACTCTCATGGGGATTATTAAATAAGACTTGTTATCAAGGTTGACTTCTTATCAAAGTTTGCTATAACATGTAATCACATGTTATAGGGGTAAAATATATTCAAGGGGATTTCAAAATGACAATTTTGTCATCAAGGGTGACTTTTTGTTACTGTATTATTTTATTTTACTGTATTATTAGTTGGTTGTAAAAAAACCTGATGTTATTGTTTGACAGGAAGGAGATGCTAGTGCTCGACCCCAGCAAGGAGGACTTCTGGTCAATGCAGCTATAAACATCACTCGGGCTGTCTCGCAGTTCATGGGGCTGGTGCTGCAGGTACGTAACAGTATAGTCAATGGTAACACGCATCCATGTCTGATTAGGCATTGTGAGCAAGAACTTACCACATTTACTTCAAGACACCTAGTTCTCCAATTCTCTCTTGTGTAGATTTTTCATAATAACTCACTGAAATCAGCCTTTTTACTGACTACTACAGAGGAGATATAATTAGTTATACCTTAGATAAAACTAGGGTTGGACTTGCCATATTACTATCTCTATTATCATTATCTTTATTGCAAGATCGAAATGCAGCTATGACGTATTTCACTTGAAGATCATTGTGTGATATTGGCAGTGTAGCTTGTTACAAACTGAGATCAACTGAATCTTTAGGACCAATTGAAAAAAGCCCAATGATAAAAGACAGCTGAGTCCAGTTTTGAAAGGGGAGTTTGGAATTTTTCCTGATAGACTATGGATTAGTAGGGTTTAAATTTTTTTTTTTAAGAGGTTGGCGGCCTCTTTTAACCTTGCATTTGCCCGTCCACATAGACTAAGCGCCCGTGCATGGATCGTTAACAGCAAAGCAAGGAGTGAGCTGGTACAGTACAAAGGTGAACTGTACTGATAAAATGTTATCGGCAGTGACCAGGATCCGAACCCACGACATCGCTGCCTTGGGCCCGAAGTCCGTGACGCTACCGACTGAGCCACCGACTCACTATCTTGTCTAAATGATCTTATCTCTTGTCCAACTAAAAATCCAGGAGGAAAGCAGTAAATTTTGTTCATTGCAAACATAAAACAGACTCCAACAGAATTGTCAGTGAGCAAATTAGTAAAGACTGTAAACTCCACTAAGAGGACCTGCTGTTGAGTGAGTAGTGATGTGATGGGAAGGGTCTTTGAACAGCACAGACCATAATATAGTAAATCGCACCAGAAAGTTTCCTAGACAACTTCTGCCACCCGATGGTATCTGCTGCTTTAGGGTGTGGCTCTTCATGTTTTGTACACCGATAACAAGCCGCTAAGTTTAGTTTAGTTTCACAGACCTCAAAACAATAAAATTTGAGTTTATTTGTCATAAATTTCCTAAAATGAAAAAGTCCTCCAAACTCATATTTTTTGAAGGGATGTATTCTAAACTCCACGGAAAGTCTTGAAGGTTGGTCTATTGTGATCCTTCCTCCTGAATTAAAATTTCTTTTGAATACCATCTTTATATCTTTGAGAAACAAATAAAAGTTTGGTTTTTATTTGTTTTGTAAATCTTTATATTAAGTTGAAGGAAGTATTAGCCAATATTATGGAGAAGTATGTGACATAAATACTAGGTCTATGTTTTGATATTTCATTTTGGTTCTCTAGAGTGCTGCTCAATCCTTCTCAACTTTCTTGGCTTCTCGAACGCGGAACTTTGCCGACTACGTGGCTCGTGGAGGAGCCATCAGCTGAGCTCAGCAGCACCCTGGTGGTTAACCTACCAACTAGTCAACCCTCAAGCAAAGTCACAGCGTGTGTTCGACTTCCACAAGAACTTGAAAACATGATGTGAATGCTTCACTCGAAATGTGATGAATCCATTCACCCCCATTCTTCGACGTTGGATACTTTCTTATGTATCCATATATTCTAATTCCTAAATAATAGAATTGGAAGATTGAATGTTTTAGTTAATATTTATTAATATTAAAATAGTATGTTCATAACATGAAAAACCAATATCATTGTCATTTTCTCACATATGAAATTAATATTTTCTCCTCACCCGAGAAAAATCAATGTCGCTAAAACACAGTAATCAGAATATTATAACAATTTTATGGATATTTCAGCTAATAGCAGATCGAGTAGAGAAGGCTGAAAAAAGTTAAATTTGAGACTTTGTGTAGAAATAATTAAGTATACAAACAAATACTTTGAATAAAATGAAACCACTGCTCTCTTCAGCAGTCTGAAATATAAATGTGTATATTTTAGTATAGAATGTGGTCTACTGTGTCTCCTTTAGAAGTTTTAAATACTATTTTGTACATTTAATTCCTTTTGTATATACTTAAGTTTGTGAATATAGCTTTGAGGTTTTGTAAATAAAATAGAAATAAACAAATTGTGTAATCATTCAGTGTCACATTTTACTTTAACTTCCTGTAAGGCTTGGTTGAGTATATAATTATTTTATTATCTAAACAGTGTTTCCTAACCTGCAGTACAAAGAGGCCACTGTGGTGGTGTGTGGTGAAGTTTTAAGTAGAAGTAGTATACGTCATGATTATTATTTTGTTCTGGTGCCTCAGGTCTTTGGAAACTGATGTATACAGCCAAAAATAGGTTAGAATGATGATGAAGTTATTTAGTTAGTAACTCTTGCGCCCGGTACAGGTACTCAGCAGTTTACTGTGGTCTCATCAATTGTGAAAATGCAATATTCTAAGAAAAAGTGCAGACTTATGGTTGGAAACTAAGTTATTAGGTTCCCAAAATATAAATAACAAACACTAGTGGCAAGTTGGCGCATAAGTCCCTAAAAAGCTCAAATGTAAAACTATTTATTGTTATATTTATACAACTACTTGCTGCTGTACCTGTCTTCGCAACGGGAAGATGTACTTTACCGCCTAATCCAAACCCTTGTTAAGTAGATCGAATACCAAAAGCCAAAAAATTTTTACACAAAAGTATGACCTACATTGTAATTATTGTCCTACTGTTTACATAAAAAAAATATAACAATAACATAATTTTCATAACTTACGGTTATAGAATCTTTCTTGATTTCCATAATCAATGACATAAATAAACCTACCACATATTTCTGTAAAATATTTTATTCAACTTTTTTTGGATCAGCTCTCTGAAATTGTGAAGTAACCATTTTTAGCAGTTCAGACTGTTTGCATTAAAATGACAAAGCAAAGGTAAAAAAGATTGTGAATTTGAATTTTCTCATGCTTCCATGGTGACCAATTAATATTTACTTTTAAAAACCTTACCTCAAAACTTTGGACATCCAAGGCGCGGAGCCCAAGAAGAACTCAGGGAAGTGAATAGTCCTATGAAATTCTTAGGTATGTAGGCAATCTTTGTGCTTAATTTGGGCTGTATCGGTATATTATCTGAGACTTTGTATCACACTCTTTGAGTGGCCCATTCAACTATGTTCTTTTTCAGTAAAGAAAATATTCATATACCTATTGATATTCATTTGTGACGGGACACCACCTTTATATGTATTTTAACCTAAATATGAGTGAAGGTTGGTTTATTTTTTATATAGAACAGAAGATATGATTAAGTACAACTAATAAAAAATAAAATAAATAAATTGTTAATTCACCTAATATTTGAATGCCGCCTAATACTGTCAATACTCCTTTTATCTATGCTAATACTAACAAGACGCCCCTGATAGGAACAAAATGTAGTAACGAAATGAACCCTGATTGTACTAAGAAGTCCCTGATAAAAAACGAGATGCCCCTAATAGTAACAAAGATGCACCCTGGTGGTAACGAAATGAACCCTGATAGTACTGAGATGTCCCTGTTAATAAAGAGATGCCCCTGATAGTAAAAAAGATGCACCCTGGTAGTAACGAAATGAACCCTGATAGTACTGAGATGTCCCTGATAATAACGAGATGCCCCTGATAGTAACAAAGATGCACCCTGGTGGTAACGAAATGAACCCTGATAGTACTGAGATGTCCCTGTTAATAAAGAGATGCCCCTGATAGTAAAAAAGATGCACCCTGGTAGTAACGAAATGAACCCTACTGCCCTGTAGTAACAAAGATGTGTTTGGTATGTCTACCTACATACTCCAAAAAACTATTGATGCCATCGCCATTCCTCTTGCTGCTGCTGTCAACGACTGCCTTAGTTGTGGCGTCTTCCCGGACTTTCTGATTCTGAAGTCCCTATTTACAAGAAGGGTGACCACCAGAGGCTTAATAGCTATCGGCCCATCTCCATAACTCCTGTCTTCGGAAAGGTGGTAGAAGCCACCATAAAACCCCAGCTTGAAGCATTTTTTGAGGGACTTGACCTCTTCTCGAATATGCAGTTTGGCTTCCGTAAGGGCAGGTCAACCGTTGATGCTGTTGCAAAAGTTGCTGCAAGCGTGGAAAATGCATTTGAAAACCACCAAGCTCTCTCTCTGACTCTCTGTGATATCAGTAGAGCATTTGATTGTGTCTCCCACTCCATCTTGAAAAGGAAACTCCACTTCTATGGGATCAGGGATGCCGCTCTTGCCATCCTGAGTACTTACCTCGAACGGCGCTCGCAGGTCGTTGCAGTTGGTGGAGCTGTCTCCAGCCTTTTGCCAGTTGATTTTGGTGTCCCCCAGGGTTCAGTGCTTGGGCCTACCCTTTTTCTCATCATGATCAACGATCTCGACAACCTTGGCACTACCCTCATGTTTGCAGACGACACTTCTCTCCTATCAGCTGGTACGAACATCGATCAAGCTTTGGCCATCTCCAGACAGCGTCTTGAAGATACAACTGCCTGGTTTCTGGCAAACCGCTTCCAACTAAACGAGGATAAGACGCAGCACATCATCTGCAGCCTCTCCAGAGATCAGCCTGGTGTTCAAGATCCAGTTAAATTGCTTGGATTTGTTCTTGATGGGAAGTTCAGCTGGATACATCACATTGACCAGACCACCAACAGACTCTCACGGATCTGTTTCCTCCTCTTCAAGCTGAAATTTTGTGTAACGGAGGCATATTCATATTCATATTCATATTCTTTATTCATATTTTTGTACAAAGGTGGTACAATGAATAGCGTCAATAAAAAGAAATACAACTACAATGATATTAGTAAATATAAACAAGTAAAATAATAACAACAAGTCTTTAGCTAGTCAAGAATGAAATACAAAATTAAAATAACTTAATGCTACCTATGCCAGGGAGGTGGAGAACTCTTCCATAGAATAAATAGCTAAATTTAATATATAATCTTTGAGTAATTTTTTAAACTTATTAAAATCTGTTTCTTTTTTTATATTTTTGGGGATAAATTTTAAAAATCTTTGGCCTGCATTGGACGGTTTTTTTTCATAAAACTTGAGCCTATGAGGTTCAACAACCCCACTTTTTTTCCTAAGCTTATAGTTGTGGCTTGTAATCGGTTTTTCACTCAAATCTTGTTTTCTAGCAATAAGAATAACTTCATATATATATTGTCCATAAACTGTAAAAATTTTTAGATGTGTAAAGTGTTGTTTGCATGATTCATCCCCCTTAAGCTTGAGCATTATCCTGATAGCTTTTTTTTGCTGTTTTAAAATAGAGTCCATATTTCTTTGTTTTGTTGAACCGTATAATGCTATGCCGAATTGGATATGGGAATGTACATGAGCAAAATATATATTCTTTAAAGTGTTTATATTGCAATAAAAAGACATTTTTGATAGAGCATAAACTCCAGAATTAATCTTTAGCAGGATCTTTTTAACATGCTCATCCCAATTTAGGTGCTCATCTATCGTTAAACCTAGAAAATTTATACTACTTTCCCTGTTGATGTTTTGTGATTTATATTCTAGTGTTGGATCTGAAGATTTTCGGTTTTGTTGTGTTTTAAACGTTATGAACTTAGTTTTTTCAGAATTTAAAATAAGGTTATGATCATGTAAGTAGTCCCCAATGTTATTAAGTTCATTAGAAGAAAAAATTTGTATCTCCTCCAATGAGTCAGCTGATAAAATTAAATTTGAGTCATCAGCGTAGAGACATAATTTTGAATTTTGTTTATGAATTATCATATTTTCCATGCCCCTCAAGTAACACAAAAAGAGCAAGGGCCCAAGAATAGAACCTTGAGGCACCCCAAATTTGACTGGTCTATAAGCTGAGTTTGATTTCATTACTTTATTTTTATCCGTTAGATGAGATATTTCTACATATTGAGACCTATTTGTTAAATATGAAGTGAACCAATTAAGAGATCTTCTTGATACTCCCAGAATTTTAAGCTTTTCTAGAAGTTTAGAGTGTTTGACACTATCAAAAGCTTTTGAAAGGTCCATGAATATACCTGTTGTAAACTTACCGTGGTCAACTGAGTTGATCACGGTTTCAACAAAAGATACAGCTGCACTGACAACAGATCTCCCCCTTCGGAAGCCATGTTGATTTTCATCCAGCATTCTAAAACTCTCCAAATATTCATAAAATTGTAGATACACAGCTTTTTCATATATTTTGGAAATGGACGGAAGTATAGATAACGGTCGATAATTTGATACATTTGATGTGTCGTTTTTTTTATGTAATGGAATTAATTTTGCTTGCTTTAATTTTTCTGGGAATATTCCTGATACAAATGAAGAATTTATCAAATGGCACAGAATTTTATTAATGTTATTTTTAACACCCTTAATCACTGTGACTGGGATTTCGTCATGGCCACAAGAATACTTGTTTTTTAACGAATTAATGATTCCTTCCACCTCCCTCTCACTTATTGGTTTAAGTTCAAATTTTTGCTTAATGTACAAGTCATCGCTAAAACTATATGTGGGTATATCACAATTCACAGAATTATTATTACTAGTCAGATCAGTTACAATATTACTGAAATGCTCATTGAACATGTTTGCAATTATATTTGGATCAGACACAATGCCAGAATCTTGCTTTAAAGTTATATTTTGTGATTGTCCCTCATTTTGACCAACTTCAGAGTTAATTATAGACCAAACTGTTCTTTGAATATTAGTGGAATTTTTAATCTTTTTCTGAAAATAATTATGTTTTGCTTGATTTAGTTCAGTTTTATATAATTTTTTTCTTTGTCTAGATAACATTTTAAACCCCTACTCTTTTTACTCCGATACTCCTTAGTTGTTTCTATTATCTGCTTTTGTTTATCCTTCAGCTCTTTAGATATCCAGGTACATTTCTTCTTTCTTTTTGTAACCAGTAATTTTGGAAAAGCCTGATCAAAATAGAAGGCAAATAATTTGTAAAATACATCATATTTATTTTCACCACACTATCATGTTTTTGGCTGTATTACATACGTTAATTGGTGGCCGAAAGTTACGTTTTGCTGGCGATGCCAGCTGTCCATAATTTGGGGACCGAGCAGGTTTTTACAGGCCGG